ATCTAGTGATGTACTCAACTATTGCCTCATAACTTAAAGATTTGTTTATAACTCTCGTACTTAGAAAAAAGAAATTCCTCAGATCACTCTGGCTGATCTTTTAAAAACAAGCCTCTCTTCAATAGTTTTGGGAAAAATCATATAGTGATCTTGAATTTATCTTTGTCTTGCAGAGACTGCAGGAAACAACCAGCATCTCCAAAAGCCACTACAGATCCCCCACTCCCTCCCCAGTTAATTGGCAGATCATTCCAGAGGACTTGGAGAAAAAAGGAGCTCCAAAGGAAACTTTGACCAGCCTCCATCCAGGATATGTACACCTGCAGTTAGTTTCCTTAGACATTCATCAGTACTATTTCTCTGCATCAGTCCATAAACATTCATTCCTCACACCACGCATACACAACACAGATAAGTAAAATAAAGTCACAAAGCAACAAACAAAAAAGGACAGCACAACTTAAGAATGTTGAGCTTGTAAAATCCAATCCTCAGCAGTGGGACCCGACGGGACTAGAAATACTGGTACAACCCCGATTCACGCCTTCTATAAATTAGTTATAGTACTGGCTTTATAACATGGCCCCACAGTCATTTTGCCTGGGGATCTGAGCAGCCAGTTGCTCTTCTGTCCTCTCTTTATTGGCATAGTGTCTGGACCACACATTGAAAACATTTACTGCACAACAGCCAAGCCCTCTGCAGAATTCAGAATTATTATTTTTCTCCAGGGCATTTCTTTGTCATCCATCACTGCAGCAACCTACCAATCTGCAAACAAATCTTTACCTACCATCATTGGAGGTCAGGGAGGGTGGGCTTAAACCAAGCCCCATTTTACAACAGAGGCCCAAAAGTTTTGGTCTGAGTGCTAAACTTGTGTCAAAAACTGACTGCTTGCCCCATCCTCTGCTCCAGGTTATTTAGCATTTTCCATCACTGTATACAGTAGAGCACATTTTCAGTTCCATCAGTGGAACTCATCCCCTGGTGCATACAAAAACTGGGAGAAATGCAAAGAGTGGCTGAAGTGCTGCACAGGATCTCTGTAACAAAGGCAAGGACAAACCATTTCTCCCTGGCAGTGTTCAGCTTGCACTATGATACTGGGTGTTATCTTCCTACAACCCTTTGTTGTTAGTGATAAATCCATCCCCAGACCAGGCTGCCAGGGTCTGCAAAGACAACACCCCCCTTAGTCCTCACTTTGCTTCTTAGGTCACATTTTTCTCTGAAATTCTTGCTACTTCTGGAGCTAACTCTTCAGGGGGATTGGGGAAAAAAAAAAAAAGCAAAAAAAAAAAGAAAAAAAAAAAAAGCCAAAAGAGAACTCTCATGCCATCACCACCTATTAGAAGCATCAGCTAGTGTATCCAGCATGCCATGCATGGAACTATTCCCCCTGGAATTTGTGTTTTGATCTCATGGCAGGCTCCAGAAACACTATGTTCATTTATTTCCTGACTGACTAGCTCTACTGTAGTCCCAAGATTTTTACAAGGGCAGAAAGGTAAGGTCTTCTCTAATTTATTTTTTGTCTTCTGAGATCAGAGATCTGTGCTCTCTCACAGCCTGGCTGCTCAGACTCAAGGGAGCTGTGCAGTTTGTTTATACTACAGGTTTGTCCAAAGCTGATATGCCAGATGCAGATCTTGTCCCTGAGTCTGCAGCGAGGGGAAGCAATATTCTGATGTGAGAACATCACCTTATAATACAGGAGCTTGGCAAACCACACTCCGGGTATGCCCATGGTGCCCATTTCATCCACAAAGCAAATATGTTAACACAGTATTGGTGATGAAAAACATCAAGAGCACAGGGGGAAGAGCAGGTGTGGGTAGTGCGAAGGGTCCTAAACTTGCAGAATCTATAGTGATTCCACCCAGACCTTCATCTTTTTATCACATCTTTGTAGAAAGGTGGTGATGGGAGTGGTGGGAACGTGGCTCCCATCAGCCATGAAGCCCCACAGCTATCAAATGCCTGTCTGAACATACAAAGCACTGCAAGCTGCCACCACTCATCCCCTGGGGAAAAGGGGACAGCACTGCACCGGGCAAGAAGCACCTCCACAGCTGTGGGTGCTCCTAGGGCCACCTCATATGAATTCACACAGACAAACACCCAGTTCCCCACCATGCCAGGCCCTCCCGCCAGGCAGGGCAGCGTATCCCACATGTGGCCTGTTCCAGGAGCTGGGGGGAGGTCTGGTGAGCACACAGCCCACAGACAGCACCACTTGCCTGCGACTGAACAGGTGCCAGCAAATTCAGCAGCAAGAGAGCGACAGGTCCGTAGTTGCAGCTGGTTCCATCTGCAGGGGTGCCTGCCTTGCCCTCGGAGCCACACGTGTCCCAGGAGGTGGGAAGATGGCTGCCCGGGGCCTTGGGACACCGAGCACAGCGCTCACAATACAGCCTCTGTTCAAAGTAAGCAGCAACAGAATCGAAACCACTTCATTTCAAGGGTGCATTCAGGCTCTGAGCTGCAATTGGCATCGAGACAATTCTCCAAAGTGGCAAAGTGCTCCTGTTGAGGGAGCAAGACCTGCCTGGCTCCCTCAGACAGCATCATACAATCGTTTCAAGGACCAGGGCCAACACATTTAAAAATTCAGACTGTGGATGGACAAACATCTCAGAAAATAAAGTGGGTTATGTTGCTTTTTTCATATTTGTAAGAGACTACTCAGGAGCTAAAGCCTCTATTTCATTACTCCATTCTAACAGGAAACCAGATCGGAACAATCTCTGCAGCTGCAGTGGAAATAATATCAGATACTCTTGACTATAGCTTAACTGCAGGGAGAGGCAGGTAGTTCACAGGGTTACCAGAATAGCAATCAAACCAAATGCTACCAGTGTCAGTAGTGCATTTGGTATGCAATCCAGCAAGAAGATGCAGCTCAGCTTTGAGATGATTGAATGGATAAGAAATATCACCAGGCTTGAGGGATCCAATTTAGCTGCAGTTACATAGAAACCAACTGTAAAAAGGCTTCATTTTTTTCCTCATTATCCAGAGTGCAGAAGTGAACTTGAGAGACTCTTGTCATACCTCACAGAGGCTTCATAAATGGATTTTTTTTTTTTAATGCTAAAACAGAAGTATATAAAAGAACTTTAAACACCAGCACAGTTTGCCAGGGGAAGAGAGTGGCCAGAACTGGAACAAGATGTTATCCCTGTTTGAGCTGTGTAAGCCAGTTGCTGCATCTTCAGAGGGCACAACATATACTTTATATTCTTGTACACTTACATTCATCAGCATGAAATACTGTAAAAGATACACGTTTAAGTAAAGGCTTAGGGGAAAAAAGAAGGTCTACAGCTCTTTAAGGACTGGAGCTTTTAAAGAAACCACAAAGCAATCAGCTTTTGAAGGCTCTTCTGTCATACACAGAGAATGCCATGAATCACACACACATTAGCAGATGCCATGTGCAAATCTCTGCTGCAGTACATGGAGGACTGACCTCAAGCACTTCAGCATCAAAAAGAAGTCTACAGTTTAAGCCTGCTGCTGACAGCCATAACACTGTTAATTACAACTTACAGAGTGTTGCAGAAAATAACAGAGCAATAAAAAAAATACATTCTGCACCTGTTTAAATGCATGAAAAATTTATTTGAAACTTTTGGCTGAAGTATTTGGGTCAACAGTTACACCTGAGGTACTACTTAAAGCACCATTAACTCCAGGTGCATATTGCAATACCAGAAAACAAGCAAATTATTTAATAAACTGGGCAAGCAAGAGGCTTTGACATAATTGTCAAACCTGTGGTAGAAGTTAAGCTTGGGGAAGCTTTAAAAGACTTTATGCTTAACTTGTAAATATAATGAAAAGCTGTTCATCACTTTGTGGTGTTTGCTGTAAGATAATGTAAAAGGAACAAGAGAGTTTTAATTTCCACTATCAAATCTACCACAAACAGTACCTGTGTTACAAGAAAATTAGGTCTGTCAAGGAGAAAAGCAATATACAGGTCTCATTGCAGATTTGGGGATTTCTCTTCCACCCAAACCTTAAAGCCACCCCCAAAAGTGTTACTGATACACAACCACTCACTATCAGCTGATTTTTTATCACACCAACATAACTGACACTATGGCCATCTTCAGAGCTTAGGAACTCTATAAAACAAACCCAAAAACATAGAACTATCAGCAGTGAAGACTTCAGAATGGAAGGACAATCATCCACATTGTTTCTATCACACTAAATTAAACTGCAAGATCATTGATTTCCTTGAGATAATAGTAAGCTACTACAGCTACATCTAAGCACTTCCTACTCCATACACATTTTCTAGTGTAGATACCACAATAACTGGAGTCAGTTTGAAAATGGAGTAGTTAATATTCAAACAATTTGGACAGGTTTATTCCCAGATAAAGAGCTTTAAATTGCTTTTTAAAAGTATATTTTGTCACCAGATGCTACAAATAATACAAATTATTTTGAAGAAGTTGAATATGCTGCAAACATCTTTCCTGTCTACTGTAACAGAAACCTGTTGATCTAAACTTTAATTCACAGCATCCTCACTTGGAGTTTT